AAAAAAACAATTAAAAATGACACGACTGGTTTTACATTAGGTTTATACTCCTAGACTCCTACTACCCTCACTCTCAATTTCTTTGCGATACCACAGCACCGCGTATGGCTATTTACCCATTCCATCTGTCGGTCACTCTTGCAAATTTGTTCAGTGCCGAGTGTATGTCTGCAGCATATGAAGACGAGAAGTACCCCCCGGACTTAAATGATAGAACAACTGAAGAGGCTACACGAATTCTCTACTCCGTTTCACCTTATGACGCACGATAGTGAACGCCACAAGCCACCAGAACGAATTCACTGCATGGAGTGTGTTACGTGACCTACCGGGTGGGCGGAGCGACGTGGGAAGCGTGAAGTCGCCTGGTATGCACGGGGCGTCGGATTGACTATAATAACTTGTAGCACCCGCTGCAGTTCATCGTACGGTGAAGCGGAGTATAAAAAGGTTTGAGAAGGTTGAACGAGGATGAGCCTGTGTCAATATGCGCTGGTGCATGCAAATTCCGCTTGCCAGTGCATGATTTTTGGCCGCGAGCCAAATCGGCGAGGGACTGGTCTTTGCGCGAGGAAATACTTTGCACTCTGCTGCAGGTAATCAGAACCCACGGGGAAATTGTATTTGTGGACATCACAACCTTGCCGAGTTGCCAGAGCTCTAAACTAGTGCAAATGGCACTCTATTGTTGTATCAGCAAAAATAAGCATCGACACTAAATCCTCCAGTGATTTTCTAAAAGCATCTGATCCAGAAAGACAGTGAAGAGATGCGCAACAGAGCTAGTGCAGCATTAGGCACGAGCAGAAAGTACAAGCTGTCTAGTGTTTGTTCGTTGGTTTATTCCTGCATTCTCAAATTATACTTCCGAGAGGATTAGGGCCATTTTCTTGGCTCTGTGGGCTGTTACCTAAAACATATTGCGTAGCAGTGAACTATTGATTCCAAGAGGATGGCTACAATATACGATTTCATTAGACACATGTCACTTTTTCTACTGTACCATAGAGAATTCTAACGTACACTTCACGCATATTTCGTTGTTATTGAAGCATATACGACTCAGCACAACAAGATTTACTATGTGTGCGAGCAGAAAATAACCTAATATTTTTTAAATTAAAATTCTGCAGTGCCAAGTCTCGTCGTATCCGCAAGAGACCGGAGCCACGTAAACGGCGTTGTCTTTTTTTCCGTTGAGAGATTTTGGTCGGCGGCCAGAGCATTTTCCGCGAACAAGAATAATCCTTTAGGGAGCAATAAGGTCCCCTTCGACCTCTGTAAGCTGCTTACCGAAATATAGATATATATCTCATCCAAACGTTACCATTCCTTTTTTTTAGAACCTGGAGGTGCTTTCCGAGAATGTTTTGCTCAGATGCAGCAACGGCAGCACTGCTTTCGCGATCCTTACATCAAGTAACTCTACTCCAGTGTGACGAGATATGTAAGTGTGAAGTCCTCTGTTATAAAAACAAGCTTCACATATGAAAAGAGACATAATTGATACCAAACAATGCAAGAATTACAACTGTGGCTATCCAGCACGTGGAAGATGGGTTGGAAAGCTACACAAAAGAAGTAAAAAAGAGATAAACACAAAGACGCTTGATGGTGGTGATGATGATGAATATTAAGAACTTCATAACGCAAAATGCAAATTCGGACAAATTCCGCCGAACCGGAAGAACAGAAGAGTAAAATCTGCCACGAACCTCTCCGCAAAATGGTGTTAGACAAAGAGTATCTAACAGCTTAACATCTCTAGTTGAAACTCGAGTCCTAAGGAACTAAAACGGTCATCACTCAATGTCTGAGATACCAACCATGGTAGAATAATTACCCCGTTAACCCTGTATTTATTGATGAAAGCAACAAGTACTCATGCTAATTTTAATTAACAATAAATATACTTAACGAACGCTTCTATGAACGTTTTACTATGCAACAGCGCTCCTCAAGCTCGTGATAAACAAAGAATCTCTGCAAAGCACGGAATGGGGCACGGTTGCACCACCCAGATGCAGCTAAACAAAGGCAGAGTAAAATCACTGCACAGCATGCGAGCGTCTGGTCAGCTCTTTCAGCTCTATCCCGCTTCAGCGGTGCCTCAAAACAATGGTGGCTACCGACGTGAGACGCGATACCCAAGTTCAAATGAGCGGACTCGAAGCAATATATTTAAGGTGATCATGAATCCGTGCATCCAGCGACACCTCCACATTCACACTTGTATTAGCAAAATACTGGGGCTTCAGCAGCTTTTGCAAAAGTCAGAATCAGTCAAAATGGCTGTGCCAACTCGGCCAATGTGCCCATTAAGCAGAAGAAACTAGATCCATAGAAAAGAGTGAATCGAAACAAAGATTAGGCAAACGAAGCTGAATATTGCGCAATTTTTAATGACCGTAGTGTTTATCTTGCTGGAGACCAGTACAGAATAAAAGCCTATAACATAACTTCAACAAGCCCCATGAAAGCTGGTTAGGTGTATATAAAACCTACTGATCATGAAAGGCTTTCCTGCACATTTTGAGTTGTCAGAGACACCAGCATTACAACTGGCATTTGTGTTCAGTGATAGCAGCCACTTCCAGAACGACTGCTCCTCCAAATACATCTATCGCCTGCCTTTCAAAAATATGCTTGCCTGCCGTCGGTGGAGCCTGCGAATCAGAGAGCCGTCTTCACCACAGCCACCCTTGCTTACCCCGTACCCGCGTGAAAAAGACACGTGATATTCATGCCAGGTACTTTAATGTATTACATTCCTGAATGACAGGCACAGTGACATTTATATAGGAGGCATTCGCTAAACAATTACAACCTTTTTTAATAGACCCTTCTCAAAAATGTGAATAATCTGTAGCGGCGTTGAATTTCGGGGGCACTGTACAACCAATTCAATTAAGAAACCTAGTTTAAACACTAGAAGAGGATTCTCAAGGTCGCAGAAAGGCGCATCGCGCGTGGCAAAATCCGGGTACAAAAAGAAATAACAGCGCAAAGCACATTTAACAAAACTCATTCATTACTCAGAAGGGTCGAGTAAAGTATTGATTGTATGCGGTATTTTTCAAGCCAGTTATTCCTAGTATGCTGATTTGTGTCAAAGTGTGTACGTGATTAACGTACCTTAATACCTTTCCCCAAGGTTACAATAAGTTTATACGAAATACCGGTTGCTTTTCTTTTTTTAAGTCTTTTCCTTTGTGCTTTCTCATTGGATGTAGATCACGTTCTCGTTCAATCCTGTGGTGTATAAAAGCTCCAGATTTCCCATCGAAGTTCGCAGTCGAAATCCTCTTCTGAAAATCTACACCATGACTGGAGTGAGTGCACCATTTTGAAAATACTGGACCTTGAAGCTCGTCTATCTACTTTTAAAAGTTTTTCTCATAAGTTAGGCCTTCTACGTATGAATATACTGTCTGTCGCAGCTAAGGACTAGTACGCCCTTGAGCCCGTGTTTTATATATATAATATATATATATATATATATATATATATATATATATATATATATATATATATATATATATATATATATTTCATAAGTTAGGCCTTTCCGCGTATAAATATTGTCTATCGCAACTAAGGACCAGTAGGCACTTGAACCGGCGTTATTATATAATTTATATAATATAAATATATATTTTTTTTTTAATTCTTGCCTTTTGGATACACAAGTGTTGGCCTGGGTTAAAAAGAAAAGCTTTTATATCTTTCTTCCGACGGTTGACGCTTGAGCGCTCAATTGATGGCTGTCTAGTTCACGACGGCTTTTTGCGTGCGCGTTGAGTTTTCAATTAAGGAATTTAAGCTTAAGTGGAGAAAATATCTTTTTTTTTTTTCATTTGAAAGACTTTGGAGCGAATGCAATCGAAAATTTATATCACTAAGGTTCCAATGGTAACATGTTTCGTTTACGTCTGGTACTCTATAATATATCTAACCGAACATTTTTATTAAGACCAATGTTCACGCAACCTAAGCCGCAGAATTATCTGCTCCAAAGTAGCATGTGTGTCGCGCTTGCCTATAAAATAAGTTGATGCGGATTTTTGCAATCACGACAAAATTTAACTTCCAAAGACAGTTTGATAGAGTTGACCGCTTGCTCACAAACTCTTGTGGCATTCATTTTACACATTACACACTGATACATTAATCAGGTAAAAGATACGGCTTGATGCAAAGTGGGATATTTTGTTGTTTTATGACTCTGAGACAATTTTGTGCAAGCTTCACAAAATTCCTCAATAAAATATATTACAAACTAGAAAATATATATATTCATTTGACAACAAATCAGATTTTAAATTTCGAGCTGCGTTCTCTTTCAGGATCTACACTGATTACTGTTATTTTTATTGAATGCTAACTGCAACATTCGCATTGACCAATATTTAAGCAAACCAAACTGTTTACTTAGCTGGCATCATCTTGCGTCATCAGAAGTAGAAAATATCCAGTTATATCAAATGTGCCCTAATGTTTGTTTACGCAGTTCCGTGCTTGTCTTCTCCTGGCTCTGGCCAGCAGCGCCATCGCTGGCTACGTCCACGGCGGTCTTGGCTACGGCCACGGCCTCGGCTACTCTGGCCTCGGCTACTCTGGCCTCGGCTATTCTGCCCTTGGCTACTCCGGCCTTGGCTACTCCGGCCTTGGCTACTCCGGCCTTGGCTACTCCGGCCTCGGCTACGGCCATGGTCTTGGCTACGGCCACGCTGTTGGTCTTAGGAACGGCTACGGCTACTCTGGTCTGACCGGCTACAGTGTTGCTGCCCCAGCTAGCTACGCTGTTGCTGCCCCAGCCGTGAGCCGCACTGTGGCCACTTCCTACCACGCCGCTCCAGCCGTTGCCACCTACGCCGCTGCTCCAGCTGTCGCTTCCTACCACGCTGCTCCAGTTGCCACCTATGCTGCTGCTCCTGCTGTCACCAAGGTCGCTACCTACCAGACTGCTCCAGCTTTCGCCAGCTATGCTGCTGCCCCAGTCGCCACCTACGCTGCTGCTCCAGCCGTGACTAGGGTGTCCACCGTCCACGCTGCTCCAGCGGTCGCCACTTATGCCGCTGCTCCAGTTGCCACCTATGCCGCTGCTCCAGCTGTCACCAAGGTCGCCACCTACCAGACTGCTCCAGCTTTCGCCAGCTATGCTGCTGCCCCAGTTGCCACCTACGCTGCTGCTCCAGCCGTGACTAGGGTGTCCACCGTCCACGCTGCCCCAGCTGTCGCAACTTATGCTGCTGCTCCAGTTGCCACCTATGCCGCTGCTCCAGCCGTGACTAGGGTGTCCACCGTCCACGCTGCTCCAGCTGTCGCCAGCTACCAGACTTACCACGCTGCTCCAGCCGTCGCCAGCTACCAGACCTACCACGCCGCTCCAGCTCTGGCTTCCTACGCCCACGCTGCTCCAGTCTACGGATATGGCGTTGGATCCCTCGGCTACGGTGCCGGCCACTTTGGTTACGGACATGGGCTCGGCAGCTACGGTCTGAACTACGGGTACGGTCTTGGCACCTATGGTGACTACACCACCCTCCTCCGCAAGAAGAAGTGTAAGTTCATGCAGATATATTTAATAACCCGATTGCTTTCATTGAGCACAGAGTCCTGATGATGATTGAATGTATTACGCTCTGTTTTACAGAAACTTCGCAAAGAAGAGTTACCATCGTAGACGTCAGCCACTAGGAATCTATGAAGAAGAGGACTGTTCGCTGCCAACTTTTGTGGTCGTAAAGAGACAATAAAACGAATGAAACTTGTCACTTTCACATCTTTCCTTCAACCGTCGTAGTGCCCCATTTTAGACTAATACCTTAATGACATGACCTGAGATATAAAGGCAGTGATTTGTAAATTCCTGACCTGTACTGAAGGAAAATATGCTGCTCATACAAGATTGTAAGAAACAGGAATATCTGAATGCGGCAGGCAACCATTTCGTTCTTGAATTCTGAAATCGCTACTACAATCGTGAGATATTGTGTTCGACTCTGTTGTAAGGTACAGCAGTCAAGAATGGTTACAACAGTTGCTTTCATTACTGCGTCGACCATTGCAGAATTGCTCGAAATTTGACACGGAAACGTGGCCGTGGTCGGTAGAAACAGATATATTTATTCCTTGCTCATTTAACAATCCTGAACCCCCAAATACTGCGGAGAACCTTCTCTTCCAAGTATGTTTGGTAGCTTGTATTGTCGCAGATGGAAAAGGCTCGACAAGCGTAAACTTAGAATAAATGTTTAAGTGGTGAACTTGTGCCAGGAGCAAAAGGAAGAACAAACGTCGAGAAAGCAGTAACGAGCGCCGACGGCGACAGCAGCATGCGACGATGCGTTGGCGGGACAGATGGTTGGCACTAGAGTGAATGAATCGGCAAGACCACGCTCGACCCCTTATTTTTTACACTCAGTATCCCGAAGATTCAACCTAGAATCTTCGGGAGCTAGAGCTAGGGCTAAAGTCACCGGATCTGGGAAAGTAGCATCATTGCATTCCCACCTGCTAATCGGACACAAGTAAATACCAACATACAGACAACAAAACCTCTCAAGGTGATTGGCTCATCGCTGTTAATTGCCATGGTGATCATCATTTTGAACCCTTTCAAAGCACAGAAGCTTCAAAAGGGTCGTTAAAACCAGTTGCACCAAGATCGCAACGGAGCAACATCGTACTGAAAGCGTTCCTCGGCCAATATGAGCGTGTTTCGCACTGTGCATGCAAAAAACTTACCACTCATACTTTTTTCGCTAGACCCCTTATAATTATGTTGCTCTTCTTGGGGGTTTGAGCTTTAAATACAGTAAAATTATTTTTCAATGCCTCCGAGCAGTGACCTTGCGTGTGATGGTGGTACGAAAAAGTAAGGCATTACACGCGGCGCTGGAGCTTGGGGGCATTGAAAACACACGTTACCTACTACAGTCAAACTTCTATTTGATACGCACCTAAATTACTCTAATTTAGTCTGGAGAAATACCACTCTTAGGAAGTTTCAAAAAATGCACCCATTGCAGTAAGAAATGCTAAGAAATTTAGAAAGCGTTTATATATCCACCCTTGTGCTCAACCGTTTCAAATATTTTGTATAGTGTACATTTGTGACGTGTATGCTTATCGTTTCAGCTAGGGCTATAAGCTCAAACTGTTAAATCGTGCGCAGTTTATTGTTCAATTGGTATGTTTACTTAAAAAACCGGTTTTATATCCCACACGCAGCACCGATATTAGTAACATTTATTCGCGCCAAACAAGTTACGGTGAAGAAATAATAAAACGTAAACTTCCAGAATTGATGATTAAAAAAATTTAATTATACGACCTTAGAAAAACGAAATTCAAGGTTAATCCTTTTTGATGCGATTATATTTATGTGAAAATTACGAGGTTTACATTTTTTTAAAATTTACTGTCACTATTTTAGTTGTTTAATTGCGACCTATATATTTTTTCTCTTCAAATCTGTTGCACACTGATGTTTTTAATCGTAGTTTTTAACCAAAGTGTTTCTGCGCAAGGTACGAAGCGTACCTTGCGCTTCGTACCTTGCGCATGGTAACTTGCGCAAGGTACCATGCGCAAGTTCCTCCGTACATTGCGGAGGAACTTCCAATGTTCCTCCGAATTGTTTACGGAGGAACATTGCTGAGGAATGTTCCTCCGCAATGTTCCTCCGTAGATTGCGGAGAACCATAGGGAGATCCATAAAAGGTTCCACCATACGCCTCCGAGATATTCATTATTTTTACTGACCATGCATTAGTGGCACTTTACACCGGCGGAAAGGGTATTCCACGAGAACGAAAATGTTTTTAATGTTCTCGTTCTCGCCGACGAATCATTTTGAAAATACTGGACCTTGAAGCTCGTTTATCTACTTTTAAAAGTTTCTCTCATAAGTTACATCTTTTTACGTATGAATATACTGTCTGTCGGTATACTCCAGTATACATTGAAAAGGAGTATCACAAACAAGCGATTGCCCAACTGGAGAAAAGGTAGCACAACAAAAAAAGTCGCAAGCAAAAAAAAAAGTTTGACCCGTTCGACATTAGGTCTACACTCCACTACCCTCACTCTCAATTTCTTTGCGACACCACAGCACCAAGAATGGCTATTTACCCACACCATCTGTCGGACACTTGTGCTAACTTTTTAGTGCCGAGTGTATGTCTGTACCATATGAAGACGAAAAGGACCCCTCAGGCTTAAATAATAGAACAACTGAAGAGGCTACAGAAATTCTATACTCCGTTTCACCTTATGACGCACAAAAGTGAACGCCACAAGCCACCAGAGCCAATTCGCAGCACGGAGTGTGTTACGTGACCTACCGGCTGGGCAAAGCGACGTGGGAAGCGTGAAATCGCCTGGTCTACACGGAGCGTCGGACTGACTTTGATAGCATATAGCATCCGTTGCAGTCCATCGTACGGTGAAATAGAGCATAAAGAGGTTGGAGAACATTGAATGAGGCCAAGACTGTGTCAATATGCGCTGCCGAATACCGATTCCGCTTGCCTCTGCCATGATTTTTGGCCTCGAGACAAATTGGTTCGGGACTGGTCTTTGCGCGAGGAAAGCCTTTACACTCCACTGCAGTTAACCAGAACACACGGGGAAATTGTATCTGACGAGATCACAACCTTGCCGGGTCGCCAGTATCCGAGACTGGTGCAAATGGCGGTGTCTTGTTGTATCAGCAAAAATAGGCATCGATACTAAATCATTCAGCCCATTTCGAAAAGCATCTGATCCAGAAAGGCAGTGTATGCATAAAATACATATATGGGGAATAAAAATCAGTGTAGAGTTAGGCATGAGCAGAACGTACATACTGTATCGCGTTTAGTCCCCCCGCCCCCTCCCCGTTTTTGGTTTATTCCTGCACTTTCAAACGATAGTTCCAAGAGTATGTTGGCCATTCTCTTGGCACTGGGGGCTGTTAGCTAATATAAATTTCGAAGCATTGAACTGCTGATTGCAATGAGAACGCTACAAGATACGCTATCATTGGACACCTGTCGCCTTCCCTCCTGTACTATAGACAGTTCTAACGCACCCTTCACACATATTTTTTTTAGTGAAGCACATACGACTCAGCACAAACATATTAACTATGCGTACGAGAAGAAAGTACCTTCATATTTGTGAAAGTAAAATGCTGCAGTGTCACGTCTCCTCGTATTCTCGAGAGACCGGAGCCACGTGAATGGCGTTGTTTCTTTTTCCGTTGAGTAAATGTGGTCGGCGGCGAGAGCATTCTCAGCGAATCTGAATGTGCCATTAGGCAACAACAATGTCCCCTTCAAACCTTTGTAAACTGCTTACTAAAATATAGATAGATACCTCATCCAAATGTTACCATACCTTTTTTTTTAACCTGGAGGCGTTTTCCAAGAATATTTTTGCTTAAATGCAGCAAAGACAGCACTGCTTTCACGACCCTTACGTCAAGTAACCCCACTCCAGTGCTCCAGTGTGACGAGCTATGTTAGTGTTAAAAAGAAAAGGTTTACCCTGGAAAACAAACTTAATTGACACCAAACAAAGCAGGGTGGTTTTATTTGAAACCGAACACGTTTGTCGGGGTGGGTCTTTCGATTTTGTTTTAAGATATAATTATTTCTATATTATATGTAATTGCTCCATTTCTGCAAAAAAAAAATATCCGCTTTTTAACGTTTTTTTTTTTTTGTTTTTCATATTTCGCTTCACAAAAGAAAATATTAAATGGAGCAGGGTCAAAATCTCTTTTTTACTCCGTGATTTTTCCACAGAGTTCTGTGCTCTAGTATGAATGCGGAAACCATACAAAGCTCACAGTAATTTTTGTGTACTTGTATGCTATTCCGATTTTTTTTTTTTAAGAAAAATACATTTGTGTTTTTGTTTACTGAAGTAAAGAAGTCCAAACATCGCCTCTTAAGCAATCCGGTGGCATCTTCAGAGCCTTGTAAGTTGTAACTCACGAGCTATTATAATTGTCACTTACCAAATCCTATGCGGGTGCAGTCCTATACATGGGCTATCGACGGGCATAGGCTTAGTTTATTTTATTTTCATGGAATGTTTTATATAAAATTTGAGTTATCTTCGAAAATGAGATTAACCGATATTTCGAACCTACTTTATCGAAAAAGCACTTTTTATTTCGTTCAATTTTGTTATTATTTCTGCCAATCATATAAACTTTCAATTAGCTTAATGCAATTTCCCCTTTTTTTAATCTTTGTTAGACGTGATCAAAATTGCTCCCACGTTCTCGGAACGGCCAAACGCAGGTTCTGGAGGTCGGCTTCTCTGCAAAGACCATACTGGTTATTTTGAGTTAAAATGCACCGGGTAAATTTATTTTTATTGAGAACACTCGTGCTTGGCTGCAAATTGTATTTTCTTAATGTTCTAATGATGGCAACTGACATTCCTTAGTCCGATCGTGAGCGGTATAGCGGTTGTTCTATTGTCCAATGCGTAAAGCCAGGGCACAAAGGGCGGAGAAAACGGAAGGAGCTTTTTATGTAGCCAGACCGGGGTGCTATACACCGCTTGTAAGGCTTGAAGCACTTCGCCACAGTACGCAATTTTCGTTCGCAGGACGGCTCTTTGATACGGACATCAAAGGGCTTCGTTGAAAAAAATTAAAACAATCACTAGAACATAGGGTGACCATACGTCCCGTTTGGGCTGGAACAGTCCCAATTTTTATTTCCGCTTCTTTTTGTCCCAATAAAAAATTATGTCCCGTTTTCGGGAGATGATTCTT